AAGGATGGTGATGCAGCTTATAAAGAGCCATAGATTTTCACATTTATGAGATAAATTTCACATGTACGAGATGCCATCACGACAGTCCACCTTTCCATCCCTGCAGAGTGAGCGTGGTAAAAGCTGAAACAGCGGCTGGTGGCAGATGACCCATTCTGGTCTGGCTTCTTCATGACTGACCTTGAGGCACACACTCGGATTCCCAGGAAACCCACCAAGTTTCCTATGACTCTGCAGTGATATTTCGTCCTTGGCTTATTTTCCTTTTTGTTTGCTAGTGTTGGAGATGCTACATTTTAAAAAACATGACTTTTGAACGTTATCCAAAAACTTAGCTAACTTTCCATCTCTCATGAGTCAGGGATCCACTTGGGCCGGTGCCTCATCTCTTTCTGGTGCCTCTTGACGGCTAGGAGCTCAGGACAGGCAAGGGAACTAATTGTGGAATAACCCTACATTCAGGCCTCTCTGTCCTTCCAAAGGAGGGTCTGGTGGGTGTGCAGATGTGAGAAATAGGGACACCACTGGGGCCGTCTCTGATTCAGGAGTAGGAACTCCTATACACTGTTGCAGATAGAAAGTAGCATCATCCTCATGGAGGAAAAAATGGACCTCTGTGATACAAAGGCAAAACGACAAATGTATATTGCCACAATACTTTTAATAGCAAAGGATTGGAAACAACCCCAATGTCAGTCAGGGGTGACTGGTTGAATAAACAATGGTATGTATGACTTCAAAATGGAGCATTTAATAGAACATTCTATCTGGTTCTATGGAAGGATATTCAATATATTGTTACAGGAAAAAAAGCAAGACCAAGGAAAGTATGAAATAGTGTGCTATCATTTATCGTGTGTGTGTGTATCTTTTTTTTATTTAATGGAAGGGTGAAATGGAAAAAAAATTATCTAAGGCAGAAGGAGGAATAGGTAGAGGGGACTGGGTCAGAATACAGATTTCTCTGAATGTTGCTCATTTCGTGGATATGACTTTGGAGCCATGTAAATAGTTTACATAATTACAAAAAAATTAAAATGAAAAGAGCAAGGTCTAAAAATTGAAGCAAAATAAAGTGAATAACCATAACCCTGATTCACGTTTGGAACATAACCACTATTTCAAGTTATTTTAAAATGGTAATCTGACTGAACATCTCTAATGGCAAAAACCCTAAGGACAAAAAGAACTGCAAAAGAAAATCTTAACTGTTCTCAGTAATTATTTTTTATCACAGTTTGGGCATCGTTACTCTGATGGTTTAAAACAATATGTAATTATTTTGGTGATTTTTGAGAAAGAGGTTTTTTGAACTAGTGAAAAAAGAGCAGATGTAAAATCAATAAGGTTACATTAAAAATCCTGTGGTCCTGAGTCGAATTGGAAGTACCTTTATAAACTCATGTAGTTAAAAAAACAAACAAAACTCATAGTGCATTATTTACTAGTTCTGTCCACTAACACCAAGAAACAGTGACCAAACCACTACCAATGAGCACTCCTAGCACCCAGATTTTCCCCACTAAGAGGAACCAGGGATCCCTGGGAATCACTGGACGACTTCAGGGCTGGGTCATAAAACACCCAAGATGAGCTTGAAACATCCTGTCATACAAGAGAACTACAAAATGTCAAAGACCAACTAGGGTCACGTCAAAAGGAATCAGCCAATTAACATGATTCCCAAGAGCCAAAGATGGGATAATTTGAGTAACCGTAAAAGAAAACAACTGCAGTGGATTAAAACACACATGAAATATGTTTAAATCAAGAGTGTATGATGTACTCAAAGAAAAGAAAACAACTCTTGCTGGACAGTTTGGAAAGATGCCAGAAAACCATCTTGGAAACTGAGGAAGGGGAAAAAGTCAAGAATTTTTGCTGCCTTCCTCTACAAATCAAACTTCAGGGTGACCAAATGAATAATTGATAGAAGTAAGTTTCTCTTTATAAAGTATGCCAGCTAACAAAGAAGAGACATCAGCACTAGAATAGTGTTTGCAACCCCTAAAGAGGTTATGGGTCTATGATAATCACGAATGGCTGCTACCACCAGAAAAGAGAGGCAACTAGAGATTATGTGGCTCCCCCCAGAAGTACCTGTCACCACCAATAAAGTAGTCTTGTACAAATAAACACAACTGGACTCTGACTAAATCTCTCGATAAACTACCGATGTGTAAGAAATGGGACAGAGGAACATGTTAAAAGACACTGCAGAGATGCACCCAGCAAGACCCAGGCTGTGAGAAATTCTCCAGGATACACCATCCAGTACTGATCTCTAACAGGCCTCTGGGTGATCCCAGTATGTGCTAACCGGTGAGAGTCGATGCTACATTTAAAGGAGACTCCAGAGGCATGACCACAAATTACAGAGCATGGACCTAACTCAAACAAACAAAAATTCCTGAGCTACTCAGAAGTTTGAACAATGACTGAGTCATTGAATGTATTAAGGAATTATTGCCAATTTTTAAAAAAAGATTTTATTTATTTGAGAGAGAGAATGAGAGAGAGAGCATGAGAAGGGGGAGGGTCAGAGAGAGAAGCAGATTCCCCATGGAGTTGGGATCCTGATAGGGGACTCGATCCCTGGACTCTGGGATCATGACCTGAGCTGAAGGCAGCCGCTCAACCAACTGAGCCACCCAGGCGCCCCAAATTATTGCTAATTTTTTTAAGCGTGATTGGTATGGAGGTGAAGCTTTTTCAGAAGTCCTTGTGGTTTAGAGATACACGTAGAAATGTCTAAGTGTTGAGATGATATGATGTCCAGAATCTGCTTCAGAATCATCACGGGCTGGGGTGAGAGAAGAGGTGGGAGAAGGTTGGCTGTGTGTTAGTTGTTGAAGCTGGTGGTTTGGACGTGGGAGTCACCATACTATGCTCTCTACTTCTGTACATGTTTGTAACTATGCCTGATTAACAAGTTTTACAAGCCCCCTGCCAATGATAGGAAGCTCTCTTCTTACCTGGAAAGGGGTACAACTCCTGGCTACTCTTTGTTAACTCCTTCCTCCTCTGGCATAGAGCACACCGCAGCTAGGAAAGGACTCGGGAGAAGTTGGTTTCCCCAGGGGAAAGTGAGTGGCGGAGAGAGAGCAGACATAGGGTACTGCCCATGGAGGAAGGGCCCAGGCATCATCCACAAGAGGGCGTCCCACGCCACCAGGCATTGATATTTTGGTGCTGCAGGGACTGGGCTGGATGTCGGATTTCATCAACAGGAAGCAGTTTTGATGAAAGCAGGTCTTGGTGATGTAAACCACTGGTTTAGGCTGGGCCTGCCTGGCATCCCAGTTATCGTCAGACACCAGTCTAGGCGGGGCATGTGCTCTGTAGCTCCCCAAGTCACTCCTTGCCTGCTGGGAGGTGAGAGGCTTGCCCTTTGGAACCAGTCCTGCTCCCGGCAGGAAGAATGTACCACTATAACACTGTACTTTCAGGGTCACGGCCATGGCCTTGGACTGCCCTCCCTGACGTTCTGCACAGGGGACCGGATGGCACGCGGGCTTCTAACCTGAGTCACAGCACCACTTGAAAATGCAAGGCTGTGGCTAATAGTTTGAAGATAATCTTGTAACAACCCATTAAGGCAGATTTGCGACCCTCATTCTGTTGTTGGGAGAGACTGCAACCGAGCTACAGGAGAAGAAACATGTCAAAAGCAGCTCTTGACTGTGTCTCACTCTTTGAAAAAAAATAAGACAAGGATAGGGGATAGGTTTTTCCTGGAAACTGTCTTGGTATATGGCTTGATCACTAAACGGATGACATACTTCCTCTGGCTCCATCTCATACCAAGACAAATATAGGAAATTTTAAAATAAAATGTCTGATGAAACGTCACCTAGATTAGCATGTATTTGGATACTGAAATCTCCTCCCAGTTTATCTGGCTCTTAAGCTTTAACGTGAACAGTCTCCTCCACCCACCCCACCCCACCCCTGTCCCAGCCAGTGCTTGCCTTCCTCAGTCAGCTGGAAGGCACTGCCCCTTGGCTCCTACATCAGGAGTAGGAGGCCCTGCAATCAATGTAAATTCAAGCCTTTTCTTAAGCTCATCACAGCCATGTGTGGCTTTACCAATCTCCCATTTGGCCCAGCCAAGTTTCTATTGTTGGCTCATTCCCAAGGTTGCCTCCCTGGTTTCTTTTTCGTGCATTTATCTCAGTGGGTCCCACCTAGATCAGAAGAGAGCCAGGTATCCCTTCCTAGAAGGTCCTGAGCTAACTCATGTGCTGGGACAGGCCAGGTGGGCATGGAGGAGCAATAGACTTTATTTCCTCAGTTGTGAGACCAGGTCACGTTCTGAGATACGATTTCTCAAAGGGGAATTCATTCCAGCAGAATTTAGGCTTTAATGTTGTTTCCTTGGTCTAGAAGAAACAGGGTGGGGATTCCAGGCCCTGCCATGGCTTTCTGATGAGAAGGCTGGCTGGCGTGTCGCAGAAGGAATGCAGACGAGCACTGTGCTGGGCTGTGGCAGAAGACCCACTCCCCATGCCGCACGAGCGGGGCAGGACTGGTCCTCAGCACACCAGAACCGCTTCGTTACGTGGTGTGACTCTAACCATACAGAGGACTGACAGGCCTCTCAGACACATACCGTAACACAGACATAGTCCCTCCCCCGCCGGTTCAAACTCCCAATGCCATTCAGCCAGCATTTTGAAAAACTGCCCACTTCTCTGTAAAGACTTGAGAAAGTTAGTGCATAATCTACGAGAAGAGCTTAAAGCAGAAAAACAAAAAAACAAAAAAACCATCATGGCAGCAGCGTGGGTCCCGTAGCTGCCCTTCTCTGCCGCTCCCCAGAAGAGTGTGTGGCACTGCCCGAGAAGCCGGGGGACACAGGCAGGGAGGCGGGTGGGCAAGAACAAGGCAGGACAGGGAGAGACAGATGTCGCAGTCGGGGCCCACAGCAGGGTCTCTGAGGAAGCAAAAGGAGCCCAGGTCTCTGCACCACAGTGACCACCTTCCCCACCCCAGCTGCCTTAGAAGTCATAAGGGGACACAAAGATGGTGACCTTGGACACGTGGTTGGCTTGGAAGGAGCGGTCCAGGTATTCCGACATGTCAACATCCACCTCTAGCGTCTGAGGCCCCTCCAGGGTCTGGACCAGGATCAGCTCCCCCGTCTGCCGGTCTGAGCGCTGCATCACGAAGTGGCCCCGGCTGTTCCCGCCCACGATCCCAAAGCGCAGGCTGTTGGGTCCAGGTCGGCCGGGGGCCGAGGCCGTGGCCATGCGGAAGAGTGTGATGGGCGTCTTCAGGTTGGAGGGCAGAGAGAGGTAATGGAAGGAGATGGTCTTGGGCAAGTGGCGGCAGGGTCGGCTGTCCATGGGGCAGGGGTTTCGCTCACACTGGCTGGAACGGAGAGGCCAAAAGGGAGGGAGTCAGCCTTGGGGAGACTCGGGAGGGGCTGCTCTGACCTGGCTTGTCTGCCCCACTGCCTTCCTGCCGAGGCCTCCAGGATGACCTTTCCAGCCACGTCCCTCAGCACAGAGGCTCAGAGGGTAGGGGGTGGCAGGTGTGGCCCGGCAAGAGATGCTCCCCTGACCCACCTCTATACGTACACATGTACACGTGTATTTATACATGCTGTTACTGGAGTTTTTACAGATAAGTAAAGCTGGGAAGATAAAGCAGGTGCCCCTTCTGCCCGTGCCAAGACCTCTGTCCGTAATGGCAGCACCCCAGCAGGTAGCGGCCAACACCTTGGAATGCAGTGCTCAGTGCGAGGTGAACTTTGCAAACACCCATCGATGGTTCTTAAAGAGGAAACCCTGTCTTTCCTAACCATTTGGAATCAGGATCTTGCGGAAGTGCTTCTGGTATTTCTCTACCTTATCCAACACACAGATACAATTTAGCATATTTCGTGACTCATATAATCACTGTTATGTAGGTCGAGTATCGCATCTGGCCGATAATCATGGATGTCCCCAGAGGCTATGACGTGGAGTCCCTTCACTGAGTGACTTCGGCCACTGACTTTCTTGATGCTTCTACTCTGCCATAGCTCAAAAAGCAATTCAGGTATCTGAGCTTGGGAAGTTAACTCATCCTAAAGACAATGCTAAGGCTCTTGTGATCGCTTTTTCAGAAGAAAATGCATGTACTTTGTGATAGTTATCATTACTCTCCTGAAAGGCCTGTCTCCCACCTTTTGAAAACAACCACCACAAACCATCAGGTGCTGAGGTTACCAGAAATCAAACCTAAACCCGTGGAAAAGTCGATCAATATAATACAAAGTATACAGGGCGTGCGGTGTGGCTGGAACCGACCAGTTAGTGGGCACGAGAGCCTGAGAAGATGATCCTCTCCCAAACCTGTAATATGTACCTGCCTCCCGGTCATGTCACCACAGTGCTCTTGCGGCCAATGTCGCCCCACCCCCACAGCGCTGCACCTGCGTGGCTGTAATCCTATCATCCTCCGAGTCAGCAGGGGAACACCTGGAACAGGAACTCCTAGCAGGGCAGACTGGGTTTCCACCGCACAGAGCAGCAGTGCATTAAATGCAACCATCAAAGGGAAATGGAAGCTCGGAGAAGCCAGACTCCAGTTCCCTGCCTTCCATCTTTCCTTGGATCTGACTGTATCTTCTCCTAAGAACCTCCAAATCTGCCCCAGCCCCCCGGGAGGCCGGGGTGAGGGACGTCAGCACCCAGCCGTGAGCAGCCCCAGCTCTACTCACAACGGAGAGGTCTTCACGTAGCTCACGTTGCCACTGCCTTCCGGGCACTCTGGGCTGACGCACTGGAAGCCTCCACCGGTGTTGATGCACATGGTCCCCCGGGGACACACGAGCTGTGGGCTCATACACTCATCGACATCTGAAATAAGGGACAGCCGGGAAGAATGAAGATCCCCTGACGTCCCTTTCTGTCACAGGACCACATGAAAAATCCAGACAGGCGCTGGAGTGTGGTGGGCTTTCTCAATACCCAGTACTTATTTTTCAAACGGGAAACCCCGTCATCGTTCACTATTTGAAATCCAGACCTTGTGGAAGGGCTGCAAAACCATGCTGGGGAGCTCCCCTCCCCAGGATCCTGTGCTTCCACGGGGTAGACAGGTGACAGAGAAGCACAGGAGAGTGACCAGTCCCAGGTCACAAAGCTTCTCTCCGAGCTGCCTCCTTCTCAGCCTCAGGGCTCTGGAGTCTTCCCTCAATGTCTATTTTCAGGCCCTTTAAGAGTCAAGTCTTCTGGAAAGCCTTTCTCCTCAGCCTTACCCCACCCTAATGCAGATGTCCTCACTCTCCTTTGAATGAAGTCTGCTGCCACCTTCGCCCCAGCTGAAGGCTGTTTCTTCCCAATCTGCAGAGTTCTACCCGGGCCTTCTTGAATACTTATAGGATGGAGGGAGGGAGGGATGGGTGGCTGGATAGAGGGATGGATGGATGGAGGGATGGAAGTGGGGAGGAAGGGATGGATGGTTGGGAAGATGAATGGATGGACGGAGGGATCGAGGGAGGGCTGTATGGACAGATGGAGGTGTCCTCTCTGGTCTCAGGTTACCCACTCCTCTGACCTTCGCAGCAGAATCCCACTAGGACGTCACCAGGGAGCCACCTCTTCTCTCACATTCTACCTGGGCCCACGGAGGAGCCCTCTGCCTTCTCTTCTGCTCCTTCTCCCCACTGTCTGGGACCAGCCAGGCTCTCTCAAGCCCTGCAGCCTCCTGCCTCCGCAGCAGCGTCACTCACCCTCACAGCTCTTCCCATCAGCCAGTGTCCGGTACCCGCTGGGGCAGGCACAGCGGTAGGAGCCCGGGGTATTCACACAGGTGTGCATGCAGAGCCGGGGGCGTCCCTCCTGCCTGTAGAGCTCGCATTCATTCACATCTGGGGAAAGAAGTGCCCAGTATGACCAGGAGCCATGTGGTGGACATCTGCCAACCATGACCCAGGTTGGCTATGCCACAGTTCCTGGAGGCAATGGCCACTGTGGCTAAGTGGCTGGGCCTGGGTGGGGGGGCTAAGCAAATCCTATTCCCAGCAGAACGCCCAGAAGAAGAACAAGCATGCTCCCCCTCCTCTGCAGCCAAGGGCCCAGAAAGCTGTGGGGAGGGCTGAGAGGTACATGGTAGATCCTAGATGGGTTCCTCTGTCTGAGGCTGAAGACTAACAGGGGACCTGTAGAGGCTGGCACATCAGGCAGGCAGCCCAGACTACCAGCCTGGACCCAGCCCCACCTGAACTGGCCTCATCTCTGGGGTTAGAGAAAGAGGGTCTCATGTCTGCTGCTGTAAAATGAGGCAGTTCCACCAGTTGGGCAGTTCTCCTGTCTGGGCCCACTTGGTTTGAGCTGTTGTTCTCAGAAGGCACTTTGGTAACCAGGAGAGGTGAGCTAAAGTTGGCTGGGTCCCTAAACCTAAGTGGAGGAGGGGGGCCAGGGAATGGAGTCCTGGAGCCCCGCACAGAGCAGGGGCCTGCCTAGCCAGCCGGAAGACTCAAGCTCCTCTCTGCCACCCGTCCCTGTGCCACTGCAGCTGGGATGGCGGGGAAGGGGTGCTCCAGGCTCTTCTAGGTGGGTGTGTGTGGTTGGCACTGCACTGTGGCTGGGTTCTGAGATGGGGGCCAGCATGGGCACCCCCAACTGCTTTCTCCACGATCTTGATTTCTTAGGATCGCCTCTGATGTCCATGTCTCAGCAACCGTTAGGGTGACGCTTACCTAGAATGCAACGTGGGCCGGGCTTTCTGAGACTTTGCCCGCCACCCCCGCCCACTCGCTGGTGCGCAGGTAGCAGGAGGGAGGCGAGTGGGAGCCCTGTCCTCTCCTGGGTCCTCCCCTGCCCCACCCCCCTCTGCCCCCCGATAGAGCCCGGGGCCTACCCTGGCAGACGCTGTCGCCGGCCGCGGCGCCGCTCAGGTGGAACCCGGCCTCGCAGCTGCAGTGCTGCGTCCGCTCCACCTGCGCACAGCGCGGCGCGCGGCTGAAGGCGGAGTCGCCGGCTACGGTGTCGTCGGGGGCCGCTGCGGGGAAAAGACACCCTCAGTGCCCGGCCCTGGCGCCCTGCCGCGGGCCCTACTCTGGAGTAGGGAAGGAAAGACAAATAAATCACCAGAAACCCGGGGACGCTCAGGACCATCCAGAGGGGCTGGAGCAGGGGGAGCGCAGCCCCAGAGCACCTTGCAGGACCCCGCAGACCGCGCGACTGCCCCCAGCAGGGCCGCGGGCGTGTTCAGTCCACAATTTCCCTTCAAAAGGCTTAACAGTGATCCCTGGAGCTTGAAACTATGGAATGTAATACACTGGGGGTGGGGGGCGGGAAGGGGTATTTTTTGTTATTGTAATTTAAAAAATATATATTTATTTGAGAGAAAGAGCCCTACAGGAGATGAGGGGCGTGGGAGAGTGAGAAGCCGACTCCCCTCTGGGCAGGGCGTCCCTTGCTGTGTTGGATCCCAGGACCCTGAGATCATGACCTGAGCCAAAGTCAGACGCTTAACTGAGTGAGCCACCCAGGCATCCCTATTGTAATTTTTATACTTTTCTAAAGTATCCAAGGTTTTTGTCTTTAAACCAGGAACATCGATTATTTTTAAAAGATTTTATATATTTAGTTGAAAGAGAGAGAGCGAACGAGTGAGCGTGTGCATACCAATGGGGACAGGAGCGGAGGGACAAGCAAACTCCCCTCTGAACGCTGAGCTGGATGTGGAGCTCAAACCCAGGACCCTGAGATCATGACCTGAGCTAAAGTCAGACACGCAACCCACTGAGCCACCCAGGTGCCTAGGAACATTAATTTTCTAATACGAAAAAGAAATTTCAAAGTTTTCAAAGTATTTAGAGCTCTCATACGTTTAGAGGAGATGGTAGAGGAATTGGTGGCGAAAGTAATGACGCAGAAGAGGACACCCAAGGAGACACTGTGTGATTCCACCTAGGCGAGGTTCTCAGAGTAGCCAAATTCATAGAGTGGGAAAGCAGAATGGTTGTGGGGGTGGGGGGGAGGCCGGGGAAGGAGGAAATGGGGAATTACTGTTTCAAGGGCAGAGTTTCAGTTTTGCAAGATGAAAAAATGGAGGCGGCAGACGGTTGCACAACAGTGTAAATGTACTTAATGCCTCTGGCTTGTACCCTTAAAATGGTTAGAATGGTAAATTTTATGTTATGTATATTCCACTACAATGGCAGGGGTGATAAAGGTGAATGGATTTAAAAAAGGATTCCGAGAGAGGCTCCCCCTTCGAGCTGGGCAGACCCTGGCAGAGCTGATGGGGGACCAGGTGAGCAAGAAGCCAGGACTTGGCGGGGTTGACCGTGGAGACCATGAGGACATCATCTGGCCTCAGCTGCACCTGCTCACTCCTTGTGCCCCTGGGGAAGTTTTTGTTGTGGGGATACTTGATATGTAAGCGCCCCCTGGACCCGAGGAGCAGATGCCTAGGTCCTGACAGCAGAAACCCTGACACGGAGGGTTTGGAACGTTCAGGGTCCAGTACCAGCTCATTTGGGTTGAAGGAGGGCCCATGTCTTGTTCCTTTCTGCTTGTAGGTAGAAGGCAAGGCAGTGGAGCTGTCAAGAAGGCCACAGAGAGGCCACAGAGAGCAGCCCCCCCTCACCGGGGGGTGGGGGGCGGCAGGGAGCTGCATTCTGAGAGAGCTCCCAGCAAGGCTGACTCAGCTGAACAGAACCAAGACAGTTCAGCAGCAGATCTCTGGGGGCAGCGGTGCAAACTTGGATTGGGGCTGGCGCAAGAACGGCAAGTACTGACAGAGCCCCTACTCTCTGCATCCTGCTGTTAACCCCCGGTCCCTATTCCCACACGGAGATTACACAGAGAAATCCAGACAACCAGACAGGACACTCCAGGGTTTTCTGGCAAGGAAAGAGGACGTCTTTAGGATCTGACTTTTTTATATAGGAAGTTACAGCATAGTGTGGGAACCTTCACAGATTACTTATCAGACTGTCTAGCCCTCTGCGAAAACAGCCACTTTGTTCCCTCTAGACCTTCTGGCTAGGGCTGTATTGGGACTTGAGATGTGGATAATAAACTGACCACCAGGGGCGCCTGCGTGGCTCAGTCGGTTAACCATCCGCCCTTGGCCCAGGCCCTGATCTCAGGTTGGTAGAATCGAGGCCTGCATCTCCCTCTGCCCGCTCATGCTCTCTCTCTCTCTCTCTCTCTCTCTCAAATAAATAACAAAAATTAAAAAAAAATTTTTTTAAATAAGCTCACCACCAGTCAAATGTCTAGTTGCACAGTTCTGCGGGTACTTGGGCTTGTATCAGTAACTACTGACTTTGCAGAGTGTGATGCGAGCATTGGAAAGGAAGAGCCATTCTGCTGATCTGCAGAGAAGCTGCGGACCAAGTGAAGGTGGAACAAGGAAGCCTCTTGGGCCGAATTACCAGTCTGGGGAGCTTCCACACGGCGGCGGGGGGGCGGGGGTGTCAGTCCCTCTACCTGCATTTTCTTCCATAAAAAGCATCAAAACTCTGTTTACACAAAAGGGCCAAATTCCATCCCAGATAACTACCTCGGGGAACCGGAGGCATCAAGGGTCAAAAAGCCCTCTCTCCAGGTGGGGAACTGAGCTCCTGCCACATCTGCATTTGGTGACCCACGACCAGGGAGCTCCTCTCTCTGCAGCGGAACATCCTCACCCAGCCCCACAGCAGCCACGTACCTGTCTGGGCCAGGTGCTGACAGCGGCTCCCAGTCCTCCCCGGAGGACACATGCATTTGTACTGGTTGACTCCTTCTACACAGGTCCCCCCATTCTGACAAGGCTGGCTGGAGCATTCGCTGATGTCTAGGAAAAGAAATCATTTCCGGATACAAATAGGTGAGTTCTGATTCTAAAACGAACCCAAACCGAAGCTGAGTTACCTTTCTTCACACGGCAGGATGACTGCTTTCTACTCACTTGCTTGGCCCTTGCCACTGCCCCAAGCCGCAAGAGCTGGGAGGGGGCTGATGGCACTGAGCCGCAGTCCACCCACCACTCCGCGAGCCACGGAGCCTCCGGCACACACTGTGCTCTCACCTGGAGCTCTGCCTGCAGGAGCTGGCCTGTCATCCAGCCATGCTCCCCTGGAGGCCCCATTCCCTAATTTATAGGGTAGGCTGCCCCATGTGCCCACAATTTCTTTGAATCAAATCAGACTGTCCCCCCACAACTCTGCCCTTAGCAGCCGGCACCCAGGAAGTACACCTTTTCATTTTTTTAAAAAAGATTTTATTTATTTCTTTAGAGCACAGCTGGGGGAGGGGCAGAGGGAGAGGAAGAGAGAGAATCCCCAAAAGACTCCAGCCGAGGGCAGAGCCCAATGTGGGGCTTGCTCCTAAGACCTTGAGGTCATGACTGGACCTGATATCAAGAGTTGGACCTAAACCGACTGAGCCACCCGGGCACTCCAGGAGGAACACTTTTTGAATAAGAACCCAATTTAGGGGAGCTATAAGAAGGAGAGATGATGGTCCATCACAGTTTCCAGAGAAAGGGAAAATGAAGTCTCTCCAAGTTCCTATCCAGTAGCCCTCCCGTGCTCATTTCCTGCGTACCCAAGGAAGTCTTTCTTTTGACTCTCAGACACTTCCTGAATGGTGGAAAAGGGAAATAGTCCTTGCTCGTACACGTGGCAGTCCTGTGGGAAAGTTATATATAGAAAGAGATTATATATTTAAAAATTTAATAGGTTTCTCTCTGTGTGGTAGGATTACAGGCAATTTTTCTTTATTTACACGTTTTTGTACTCTTCTGTTTTTCTACAACGGAATTTTTCCACAATAAATTTTCTAATAAGAGAAAAAAAATTTTTTAAACCCTCAGGCCACATCTGCTTGTTATGGATCCTTAAGTTTTTTTCCCCCCCAAGCCCAGCCTTAATGCACAGAGCACAGGCCCTTTCTACCAAAGAGAGAAGCCTGTCGGTTCACTGACTTGACCACAGCATCTCTGGAAAGGAAGCTGGAAACCTCTCCTTGCTGGCATAGGAGCATCCTTTCCTGCTGTATCTATCACGAGGAAGAAAGGTGCTTTGCTTCTGATGAGAACAGCAGCCTTGCTGTGGGTGGGTTGGCAGGGACTTCGGCGTCCTCAGCGCCGGGATGCTATATAGACTGTTGTATGGTTTCTGTTAGTCATGAAAGGACCCAGACCATCCAAATGCTGCTTATCCCTGGGGAAGGAGCCTTTTCAGCTTCTCAGTAACCTCAGCCTGGTTGTGCTCTCCCCATCTGTTCTGTTCTCAGATGACCGGTTTCCAGGAATGTGTCTGGAATGACACCGTACCCAAATGCCACAGTGTGGAATTCCTGTTTCTGCCCATTGTCCAGCCCCAGCATCGCTCACCTGCAGAGTCTGAGAGTGGGCAGACCACGAGGCCATGACGTGGTGAGCCAAGAGCCAAAGAGGTTGAACACAAGTAGCTTTCAGTCTGGCCTCAGTGGGAGTGGCACCATTGTCTCTCCCGTCTGGGCTTCCAGTGGAAGGGACTGGGCCTGGCTCTATGGGGGGTGGGGGTGGGGGGGAAGGGGGGTTTTGGGGGTGTGTCACTTGCTCAACAGAGAAATGCACAGGTGCCCCAGGACCTTGGGCTCTGTCTTCCTGACTGGACCTTGTTGCCCAAGATTTTCTTCTCTAGACAGGCTCCCCACAGACTCTTATCTCGGTGCCTGGTGAGAGGCAGTCATTCCACAGCCTGACGCGCAGTCCTGGTGCCCCATCTGAGTCCTGACTGAAGTCTAATTGTCACCCTCACATCTGTCCCAGGCTGTGAGATTTAGCTAAGTGTGGGGTGACTTCAGAGCTGTTAAGAGAGCAGAGGATGAGAAGAGGCTGCCGAACTGAAATCATGGCCATGATTCTGTTTTAATCTGCTGTTCAGTGAGCGCTGACTGTCTCCCGGGAGCTGAGCTGCGTGTTTCACATGGACAATCTGCTTTTTTTCCCTTTTAGTTCTAATCCTTTCCTGCGTTCTGTCATCTCGTTTCAGATTTTCCATTTCTCCAATCACCTCATCGCTGAGGCTTTCTAATTTTTATTTATGCTGTCCTTTCATAGTTTTTATCTTTTCCAAATTTCTTTCTGCTTGTTTGGAAATATTAGGTAATAGTTTTTCATCTGGTTCATGGTCATTTTCTGGCATTTCCTCATTGTCTGTAGAGACTTTTTATTCTTTTTTTTTCTTATAATAGTTTGTACGGGATTTGACAGAAGTCCCTTTCTGTTCCTCCCATTTAGGGGAAACAGGTTTTCCTCGATGGCCGGTCCAGCTTCCTGACGTGGCTGTTTTTAGTCCGGCTCAGGATTTCCCCGCATCAGCCTCCTTTGTGCTCCTCTTCTGCTTTCCCCTGGGCTGTCTCTTGCACTTGCACCAAATTTCTTCCCTGGGCTCCATTTGGATCTTCCTCCCATTATAATCTCCTCAATACCGCACTTTGTCCTGGAAAGTCTCAAGAGTTCCTAGGGGCCAGGAGCACGCGCTCCAGCAACTGAGACTTCCTGTTGAAAACTGTGGCCCGCCCTTGAGAAAACTGGCCCAAGGAAAGCCAGAACTGGAGCGGATCCTAATAAGATGATTAGATTTCAAAGAAAAAGAAAAAAAAAAAATCCTTTGGGCATCCGGCCAAAAAGACCGAGATCCTGATGATGGCAACAGCAGTATCAGCTGCGACAGAAGACATGGAGACATACTTCACGTACTCAGGGAAAAAAGATGTGAGGCAGAGAGTTGGTGTCCAACCAAACTGGCGTCCGGTGGGGAGGTGGCCCATTTTCTGAAAGGGCAGGAACTCAGGAAATTGCTCCCAGTCCCTCTGGAGGAATAGGCTGGAGAGATGTCCATATGGGGACAGCAGTAGTCTCCCCCGCGGCATCACAAGGAGGGCTTCCTGGCAGCGGTGTCTACCGCCATCTGGCCCAAACAAAACAAAAATCTCCCTTGGATCTGATCAAGGCTCTGGAGTTAGCTACCAGTTTATAAGAAATTCAGAGACCAGAAAGGTCTAAACTTCCAGTTATATGATAAGTAAGTACTGGGGACATGGCGTGCAGCATGGGGACTGTGGCTAACACTGATGGGTTGGTATCTAGGGAAGCTGTTAAGAGAGTAGATCCTCAGAGTTCTCGTCACCGGGGAAAAACCATTTCCCTTCTTTTTCTTTTGGTACGTCTGTGTGAGAGGATGGACGTGAACTAAACTTGGCCTAGTCATCATTTCACAATAAACGGAGGTCAGGTCATTATGCTGCACACTTTAAACTTAACACAGTGCTGGATGTCATTTACATGTCAGTGAAACTGGAAGAAAAAGAAAGAAAGAGATCAGAAGATCGCAGTCAGTGACCTCTCAGGGATGCGGTTGGCAAAATCATGGCTGTGGGAAACAAACCATTTTCTTCAATAAATAAACCGCAAAGGATTGAGGTGGGGTGGTGGGAGGAAGGATGAGGAGGAGGAGACTGTATAGATTTTTATTAAAAAGGCATAAGAGACTGGCACTTGGGTGGCTTGGTCCGTTAAGCCTCTGACTCAATTTTGGCTCAGGTCGTGATCTCAGGGTTGTGGGATCAAGCCCTGAGTCTGGGTCTGTGTTGGGCATGGAACCTGCTTAAGAGTCTCTCTCTCCCTCTGCCCCTTCTCCCCTAATAGAAATAAAATTAAAAATTAAAAAAAAAAAACACAAACTAGGGGCACATGGGTGGCTCAGTTGGTTAAGTGTTTGTCTTCGGCTCAGGTCATGATCTCAGGGTCCTGGGATTGAAACCCGAATCAGGATCTCTGCTCAGTGGGAAGCCCGCTTCTTCCTCTCCTACTCCCTCTGCTTGTGTTCCCTCTCTCGCCGTGTCTCTCTCTGTCAAACAAATAAGTAAAATCTTAAACCCCACAAACTTAAAAAAAATAAAATGGTGTAAGAGACATGTCAGCCAATTGTAAGTGTGACACTTGCTTGGATCCTGGTTTAATATTTTATTTATTTATTTGACACAGAGAGAGAGATCACAAGTAGGCAGAGAGGCAGGCAGAGAGAGAGAGAGAGAGGAGGAAGCAGGGTCCCCACTGAGCAGAGAGCCCAATGCGGGGCTTGATCCCAGGACCCTGGGATCATGACCGGAGCCAAAGGCAGAGGCTTTAACCCACTGAGCCACCCAGGCGCCCCCCTTGGATCCTGGTTTAAGTGAAGTGTTAAAACCATGTGAGACAGCTGGAGGAATTTATACCCTGACTAGATATATAGATAATAAGGAATTTGTTATATTTGAGTATGTGAGGATCGTTATACTCCTCTACTTTTGTGCATTTGAAATTGTCCATAGTGGACAGTGTATTAAGATTGCTTGTCTTGGCATTATTTATGATGGCGAAAACCTGGACACAACAAAGGGATAGTTCAATAAAATGTAGCCTTGGGGACACTCAGGTGGCTCAGTCGGTTAAGCGTCTGTCTTCGGCTCAGGTCGTGAACCCAGGGTCCTGGGATCGAGTCCCAAATCGGGCTCCTTGTTCAGCAGGGAGCTTGCTTCTCCCTCTCTCTCTGCCCCTCCCCACCCCAGTTGTGCACACACTCTCTCTCTCTAATAAATAAAATCTTTTTTTAAAAAGTGTAGAATAGCTCTTAGGAGCACGTGCTTCATAATCATTAAAGGTTATGCTTAGAAGGAAGTGTTAATGAAGATTTCCTTGTGGTAAGATCTATACACGGATGCCCAGAGAGAAGTCTGGAAGGAAATTCCATTTCTTAAACATAATCGCTCATGCATTCATTCGATCATTCAGCGAGTTAGCCAGCCAGTCCCTCAGTAACTACT